GTTTTAAGGCCTTTTCAGACACAGACGCCCGCTATGGGTAGTAACCATGGCAATGGCTTCTGTGCTTCAACGCCGCTACGTCTGCTTTATAGAGAACAGTAAAATATATCTAGCACAAAGATGGGAGTTTGTTTCTGTGGACACCAGAGAGTGAGCGTCAGGGCTGCTGGAGGCCACAGCAGAGCTTTCTGGACCTTTGCATTGTAGGCGGAGCCGGGTATCGTTCAAAACTTCAAAACCACAACGGAGTACTCCAACCGATACGTTGTGTAAAACGCCACCTGTTGGTAGTACTGATGGTAATATTACTTTTACTGTTGTGTAGGATCCAAGTGATCTACGAAATCAAGCTAAATTTAACACCATCGTTGAAAGTAAAACAATAATTTGTTAACGTTCTTAAAACTGAACAAGCCGATATCAGCAGCCGGAGGAGAGGGGCGGGGGAAAAAAAAAAAAAAAAATCAGCCGGTCACTGCTGCGCCACAAAAATCACTGAACTGATGGAACGTGTTGCTCAGTGATCAGAGGAGTTAATGGATCCCAGAAGCTGAAACCATCCGAAAGACAAGCTTGTGGCAACAGTGACGAACACGTGCGAGACGCAGCCGCAGGCCGTTAAATTCACGCACATAAAGACATAAATCAGCTTCTCTACTTTTGCTTCTCTTTCTTTCCGCGCTCGAGTGTTTGACTGCAAACCAAACCATACAGTAAATTCCCCCCCAATCCAGTAACAAGAGTACTGATAGCAGAACTCGTTTGACATATCAACACAACTGGACACCAGGCTGTTTCAGTCGATACCTCAAAAGGTATCACTAATTATTAGTCTACTTCCTGTCAGCGTTGTACCTCCTGTTCTGTTTTAGCATGATCATTTGACCAAACTCTGGATGTCCCGATCTCTCTTTAACAGTGCACGCTGATTGTTTTGCTGTCCAGCCTCGAACACGTGTGTGCGATTGGTGTTTCTCGCCAGTTTCTGAGGAGGATGCATCAGAGAGACCTTAAATACTCTGTTCAGATCTGCACCTCCGTCCTAAATGTTTGTATTTTGTAAGGTAACTTTCCTCCCAGATGAACATAGCGGCCAAACCTGTGACATCACCACACAGGGTTACTCTACAACATTAGCAGGTTTCCTGGGTTTAAACACGACAGCAGCTTCAAATATGGAGACAGATGAGACGACACTTCCAGTATTCACCGCTCCAGCAGCGTTCAATCAGAACGTGGCTCAACTACAATAATAAATAACAATAATCTTTGTCGTTTCTGTATTTATTACCAAAGTATTAATCAGTACTACAGTTAAAATGGGGAAAATTGCGTTGCAGGTCGATTTAATGTGTGGCCCCTAAACTTTCTGTCACAGTAAACAAAGCTGGTCTGGAGCCCTGAGGGACCTTTGACACAGCGAGCCGGGCAGATTGGAGTCAAAGCAGCTACTGACAACGAACCGAACCATGACCTGAATCCATCCAGAGTCCACCTTTCCTGTCATCAAGACTCAGCTGGTCCGAGTCTCTGAGCATAGCTGCTAGTACCGACTGGTCACAGTTTGTTTGGGAAACATGAATTTGTGAAACAGGTGAGCAGGGTACTGTGACCTGCAGGAGCTGTTGTAAAGCGAAACTTCACATTTATTAATTTAGCTGACTTAGTATTGCTATGCATGTCGAGGGGTTAAATGTCTTGCTCAGGGACACAATGGTGGATGAGTCACAGTGGGGGATTGAACCCGGGTCTCTCACACCAAAGGCATGTGTCTTCTCCACTGCGCCATCGCCACCCTTTATTATTGTTGTGAATCTCTCAATAACATTACGTCAGCGTGAACTCACGCGACTACCCGCCCCTGTACAGACGGTGGCGTAGGACGTTACAGCCAACAGGATCAGACACATTTCAACACAAGTTTACTGCGAAATAAGGAAATACTCTAATTCTTTAGCCGCCGTTAGCTTCTCTGTTAGCATGTGTTGCTAACGGGAACCAACGACACACGGAGGCTAGCAGGCTAACAGCTAACCAGGTCACGTTACGGCCATTAGACATTAAAACATGTTTTAACTACAGCAGACAGAAGCGAAACTGCACGGCGGCGCCTCCCAGACCCGGTTCCTGTGCGGGGTTTACGGCGCGGTTCAGACTGCGGGTCCCGGGACTCCCGTGACTCGACATGTTAGCATGCTAACGTAGCCGCTAGCTGCAGACTTCGCAGCGCTGTAAAAAGCGCGACAGTGAAAACTTACAGCATCTAACTGAGTCCGAGTCTGTGTCCGGGTTCCTCTCACGCCGGGTCGGGAACCTCCGGGCTGCCGGTTCAGGGCTTCAGCTGTTAAACGGTCCGGCTTCTCTTCTTAACCGACATCAGCTTCTTCAGCGGCTTCGCTCCAATTCTGCTCCATTTTGGCTCAGACGACGCACTTCCGGGATGGTCGCCGGAAAATGACGTCGTTTTTATAGAGGAGCCGTGATTATTATTATTATTTATTTATTTTTATCTTTTTTTGTCACAACTTTATTAAGAATTCCCAACAGAACAAGAGTGGCTGTTGAAGGAAGAATAAATCTTTTCCTTTCAGGAGTAAACTGGTGATGAAAGTCTTTCAGCTCTTTAACAGCTCATTTTACAGGGATTACGTCATTTCACGCAGGTACCGTAGTGAGTCAGCAGGGGGCGCTCACGAGCTCATCTTCCTATAACAAACTTTTAAATTAAAGATATGTTTCACGTGTTCACTTATATCAATAGGTATCTTAATACATTTACATTTCCTCACGTGGCAGACGCTTTTATCCAAAGTCAACAACATTCAAGCATCAATAAAGACTCAGTAAGAGAGTCAGAGAGGAGTTACTAGTTTTTTAAAATGTATTTTAATGGCTCATTTAGTGATGCACTCTACTTGCATAAAATTCTCGCAGGAACGCAGGAATGAAGGTCTCTAAAGACCCAGAGACCCGACAAACTCTTTGACTGGAGAGAGACCAGGGACGTGTCCCTCGTCCGGGACCATCCGGGACCTGGTGCGTCTCTGCCACGTGTCCATAAGCAATTTAAAAGCAACAGAGGTGAAAATGTTCACACCGAGACGAAGCATCCTGCAGTATTTTAAGAGGACAGAGGTCACAGGAGAATAAGAAAGTGACGAGGATGAGCTTGTAAGTTGTATTATAGCTACTGGACATAGTATATTTGCTAGATGTGAGATGAAGTGACCAGAACAGGGAGAGTTGGGGCCAGGTGAGACACAGGAAATACCACAGACAGCTCACACACATCAGGATAACTGAATACAATTGTACTGTGGCTAGCTCCATTAACCAGCAGCTGTTCCATGGTTTTTATGGTATTTGTTCTATATCATACTCTGTCTCTCTGACTGCACCTGAGTCTTCATAATCTCCCCTCCTCAGTCTGTTCTCCATCTTCTGTCACAGCAAACCTCTTTCAGCTGCATTAATAAGTTCAAAGTTGCTCCTACGCCCCTGGTACAATCAATACGAGAGAGTTGTAAGGAGATAGAAGAAGAAGGGTAACCCTACCAGCGCACCCGCCACAGTACCGGTGACGTTCCCGTACCGGAAGTTTAGCTTTTAATGTTGATCAAACAGTTCCCCCATCCATTTCACTTTCTACAAGTAACTGCAGATTCCTTTTGTGGAAATGTAGGCACCCGTGTTTTTGGACACTTGGTCTTTTATTGATCGGGTTTAAACCTTAAAAGGTGTAGTAAGCAATTCTAATCCAAAACACTTAAATTCAGTGAATAACTCCTTGTGGTTCGCTAACGCTCTCTTTTGTGTGTGCTCTGAAAAAAGTCGGGTCATAGATCTGTAAATACAACATTGTTCCAGCCAATCAGCAGCAGGTGGCGGTAGCGCTCGTGCACGGGAGCAGTGGGAGAGAGAGTTCTATACACCAGCAGATTCGAACATGCTGGACTCATTACGGGACTCTAGACTCTGTCCAGAAGGAGAGAAACTTCAGAGTGCAAAAAGAAGTTCTGTGACCCGGGTTGGTTAGACCGGAGTGAACATCGGCGAGGCGTTTCACACTCCAGGAGGAAGGAATGAAAACCGACAAGGAGGTCGTTGCTCCGCGTCTGCGCGACAGGTAAATAACGTTAGCTTTGCTGCTAACGATGGGTCAGCAGTGTCCGTTTGTTGTCACGTTTGTGATCCCAGCTGGTTAGCTTTGTTAGCTTATTAGCAGTCCCCGAGCTAAGCGTAGTAGCATTACTAGCTGTGTGTTTGTCCTCTCTGGCGTTATATGATAGTGTTTGTCTGTATAACATTTGCAAAGTGGTTTATGGCCACAAAGACCCAAAAATACAAGTTTTGCTGGGACTGTGGGATTAAGCTAATACGAAATGCTACGTTAGGTAGCATCACGTTACTGGAGATGTTACCTTCCTGGTTAGCTCTGCATCCGATACAGACGTGTCATCCTCTCGTATTTTTGTAAAAACTATTTTAAATTTCTCTGTGTCTGAGCTGGCATGATGTCCATTTGATGGTGTTTGTTTACCGCCTCTGTTTACGTTACTCGCTGTTAATCCTACAATTTTGGAAAGGATGTGTGAATATTGACAGGCTTATTGTTCAGATTCAATGTGCGACCATGACTTTGGAGGGGCGGAGCTTCTGATGGAGCGCTGAAGGGAGCGGTGTGTTTCCTTAGTAGTTGAGTTCAAACATCTTCCTGTCCCTTTAACAAGTCACTGAGCCAGTTATAATAGAGTCCTTGAAGTTTCTTTTTCTAAAAATCAAACTTCCTGCCAGCTTTTTCTGTGGTCGGGACGTTTTTTGCCGAGCGCAGCGGTCTCGTCCTTGTGGCTGAACATTTTCTTATTTTTGTCCTGAAAGTCGGGTCTTTATTCTTACTCTGTGCAACTTTATGATTCTGAAGTCCACCAGGGACGACTGCTGCCCCCCCGTGAAGTGTTTATGGTTCATTCTACTTTAAAAGTTAAACAAAAAAAAGACACTTTTGATTACACAATAGAATTGTTTAATTCATGAAATATAAAAAGTGAAGTCAGACCACCACCAGAGGTCAAAGTGATCATATCACACACAGTAACGATTAAAGACAACAGCAAATCTTCCTTCTGTAGAAATTAAAGTTCTACTTAATAAATGATTTCAAAAGTTAGTGATTAAATTAATCATATTTAGTAACTTATAATTGAATCAATGCTAACACTTAAACACTGAGGAAAATAAAAGCAGAAACTACAGAGTTATATATTAATAATAAAAAGGTTCAAGATCAGACGCATGTTCTGCTCCGCGACCATGTTTCACTAATCGGAAGACATCTTAAAAAAAGAAACACTTCGGTGAAATCCTCTCAGACTCACGGCGATACTACGGCTGGCAGCTAGTTAGCTTAGCATAAAGACGGGGAAACCGCTAGCCTGGCTGGCCAAAGGGAAAGCTCTCTGATTAACACGTTATATCTGTTCCAGAAAGAAAATAAAAGTCTGACAGGTGTTTTAAACAGTTTGTTAGCTCTCCTAACACAGATCACACGGTGAGAGATCCACCTCAGCACTGAATCCACACGTTCTTCCTGAGATCAGACACAGCCTCCTCCTTTGACTGGACCAAATCACAGGAAGAACATCTTTAAAATCAGTTCTGAGGGGGAGCATCTCTTAAAACAAACCCCGACCCTCAGTGACCCCGGGTGAATCCAGGCGCGCCCCTCAGATTTTGTCCAGTTTGGGGCTCTCGGGGACGGTCAGGGACTCCATGGAGGAGTGCTCATCTGGTTCTGGCAGCAGCTCCTCCTTATCACTGCAGGGGAAACAGACACCATCATTACAGCTGCAGATACAGCCACGGGGGGCGCCGCTGTGACCTCCTGTGCGTTCACATCTGTTACCTGATGTAAGACGGACGGCGGGACAGACTGTGACGCCTCAGCGTGATGATGATGAGCGCCGCCAGCAGCAGAGCAGAGACGGCTGCCAGAGTGACGAAGAGGAAGACGGCTGGAGCAGAGAGGAGGAGATGAAAGTCAGACAGATCACAGTGAGGGTTCTTCTTCACGTCACGTTTTAAACTCTGCACCTTTAATGCGAGACAGTTTCCTCTTTGCAAACAAGCAGTGAAACATTTTCAGCGTTTACGGACCAGACAGAATCTCCTCAGGTGACTTATTGCACCACCAGGTGAAATCTCTAATGTTCAGACCATTCAGAAGTGTGAATCCTTCACCTCTAAATCCACAATAATTCATCAGCCCGGAGGTGAAACTGACCTGCAGTCCAGCGGTTACGACCTCTGCCGTGACCTTCAACCCAACCTGGACAGAGAACAGACAGTTTGTGAACATGACTGTCCCATAAAATGTACAACGAACATCCGTAGAACACGTGCACATATTCTGTAGAACGCGCACGCGCTCTTGTACAACACGTGCACATATTCTGTAGAACGCGCACGCGCTCTTGTACAACACGTGCACATATTCTGTAGAACGCGCACGCGCTCTTGTACAACAAGTGCACATATTCTGTAGAACGCGCACGCGCTCTTGTAGAACAAACCAACTCCAAAGACTGGTTGTGTGACACTGTTCACTCTGGGAGCTGCCCAGTCTGTTAGTGAGGTGTGGTGCACTCTGGGACACATGGCGAGTTTCTTTACCGTTTCCGCTACAGCGGGTCATACACTCCTCCACGTTGCCGTAGCGGTTCTGGTTGCCGTGACAACCCCCATAGGTGAATGACTGACAGGTTTCGGTTTTGGGGTCGTAGTAGAACATGAGGAAGGCGGCGCGGCAGGGCCCGGGGTCAGGGGTCGCCATGCAGCGAGCTACAGAGAGACAGCAGTCATTTACAGAGTCAGCTACAGGAAGCTCTGATGTCACAGCATGAAGCTTCCTGTAGCGCCACCTTCAGGACAAACTCCACCTGTTCACCACAGTTTCATGCTGTACCTTTGTGTTCTGCAGGAATGTCATCGCTGGAGGCTTTCTTGGACGAGGGAAGCACAGTGACTGCAGGAGGAGAGAGAGAGCGAGCGAGCTTTAACACGGGCACACAGGCACAGAAAGGCGAGCCGCTGACCTGCGCGCGTGCAGGCGAGCCGCTGACCTGCACAGGTCTTACTCACCTGTACATGCAGCGATGCAACTCTCCTTGCTCATGTGGTTGTTCTTGTTTCCTCTGCAGCCTCCGTAGATGAATGGTTGACAGCTACCCGTCTCACTGCTGTAGTACCAGCGTGGAAACGCTGCCTTGCAGGGACCCACATCAGGCTCCGCCCCACAGTACTCTGATTGGACAACACCACACAGCTTAAGTTATATTTATGTCATATTCTTTATCTTACGCCAAACTAACCTTTATTAAACTATGTGTCGAGGACAAAACTCCAAAATAATAATAAATGTTTTCCGTTTATTCATTTGTCAGATGAAGAGTTTGGTCTGATCGGAGCGGATCACCAGCGAGTAAATCTTTAGGTCAGAGTGAGCCACAGAAAAGACTCGACTTGGAAAGTTTAACTGAGAGCTGACAGGATCAGATTCCAGGACGTAAACTGCTGAGTTTATAGATGGTTGTATTAATAATCAGTTTGGACGGCTGTGGAGCAGATTGCCCGGTAATCTGAGGGTCGATCAGAGCTCTGCCTCACCATGAAGCGGCGCTCCTGATGAGCAACTGGCGTGCTGCCATGAGCGTCGATGTGACACGTGTTGTTCAGCACGCCGAGTGGCCGACAGATATCTAATAATCTTAGTTATCGTTCATCCTGACTGACGGCGAGGCTTCAGGAACAGAGAGAGCAGGTAAAAAAATAAACCAGTGCTCTTTATTCTCTCTCGTGTTCGTGTGTTCGCTCACGGAAACCTGGAATAACTGGAGAAGGTTCATCACCAGTTCAGTCAGCCGCTGGAACAAACTGCCCTGAAAACAGAACCTAAATCAGATTTCAACTGTCTCTTGTTAAAGAGAGAGAAGAGGACCAACGTACCTGCGAAGTCTTCGGCTGACTTTTCTGTAGGAGAGAGGAAGAAGTTACAGAGTTACTCACATGTTGACTGTCGACGACACGACACAGAGCTACATTTACTTCCCCAAACCACTGAGACTCTGAACCGTGTCCCGAGAGGAAACCCGAACCCGAGTGACTGTGTTGCCATCACATCATCACATTTAGAAGCCAATTATGTAGGTGTGATTATTATGATCGTTTAGTCAGTGAAAAGTTCTGTTTCCTAAAGTCCAAAGTGAGTCTTTAAAGTCCAGAACCAGAGAATCAGAAACACCAAAGAAAGCAGAGCCTCATTTATTCTCTGCTCATCGACTACTCAGGTGTAGGTGTGTCCAGGTGTGTTTTACCTGACTCTGTATCAGCTGGTTCATAATCAACTGGACCTTCAGATTCCTGGGACACCTCTGGACAGACAGAGAATATAAGACGAGTTTAATCAGTTGTTACTCCTCCTACCAGTCCTCCAGTTGTTACTGATACTAGAGTATAAAGAGTTCTTACGCGTTTTGAAGGCAGGAGCCATCCGAGCAGCTTTGAAAGGAAGTTGAGGAGGAGCAGGAGTCGACTCATCAGGAAGAACTGAACCTGAGCATACACAGATCAGTCATACTGGTTAGTTACTGGTTCCACTGGTTCTTTACTGGCTCTGCACTGGAGAGGAATCTTAAACATCTGAATATGAAGGTATTTTGAAATACAGTCTAGAAGAAGGTATGATTTTCCAATAACGTCCAGAATACAGACGCTCCTCTTTCTATTAAACTGCTGTACTGAGGTCAGAGTCCAGCGACCGTCAGCCCAACAACAAACCAAAGAGCAAACTCTGGACTGAGGACAGAGCAGCTGAGGGACCGTTTGGATGATACAGAACAGCAACGTTTTTTTAAAATGGGTCAGAAGATTCCTGAACAACAACAGGCCGCGGAGATCTAAAGATCTCAAAATGTGTCTTAACAAGGCTAAACATGCTTTTCTTAAGAGGTGATTTGGTCGGAGAGAAGAGGAGGGAATCCAGATCTCACAGAAAACAAAGACCTGGCAGCGAGCCGGTTCTGCAGGCCAACGCTGAGCAGGGGTGGGAAGGTCCTGGTCGTACGTCAGGCAGAGCCAGAGGTCAACAGGAACATCTGAACTGAACTGTCCTTCACAAATGAATGGCTGAATGATACGGTGACGTTGGGGACTGTGACATGGCGTGCACCAAAAACCCCTACAGACGTCCAGAGCAGGAGATTAAGAATCAGGAGCTGATAAGAGCTTTCCTCCATTTGGTGTGGAGACTCTTCAAACACCTGACTTCATCAACCCCCCCGGTCCAGAGTTCCTGACTCTGATCCACAGGCTGAAGCTGTACTTCTGTCTGATGTTTACGGGGGGGGGGGGGGGGGTGTTGCCCTGAGACAATGTTATCTGAACAGGAAGTGCTGCTAGTTTCATGTCACTCCCATATACTTTCAAATTCCTGTGAAAGAATCCGTCACACCACTTTTCTCGTTACACAACACACACACAGTACTTGTGTGTGTGTGTGTGTGTATATATCTATCTATCTATATATATATATACATACATACATACACACACACAGTGTGTATTTCCTGCCTGGTAAAAAACACACATCTTTCCAACAGGTAGGGCCGAGCTGGAAAAGTTCTGAACAAGTGAAATTGTGAGTTCAGGTGTGATTGTTTGTGTTGAGGATCAGAGAACCGGTCTGACCAGAGTAACCTGACACCACGAACACCCTTTCCTGTTCAGTCGGACTGACTCACATTCCCATAATGAGCCGCAGGAACGAACACACACACACACACACACACACACACGAACACACACACACACGAACACACACACACACACACAGGTCTAAACCGGTCTGGCAGCTCTGCAGCAGCAGGCGGCTCTGTGGCGCAATGGATAGCGCATTGGACTTCTAGTCAGCTGTGAGGAGGCATTCAAAGGTTGTGGGTTCGAGTCCCACCAGAGTCGAGGTTTTGAAGTTCAGCTGAACGCACAAAGGTCCCCGGGGAGGGAGGGGTGCATTATGGGAATGTGAGTTGCTAACAGCCAATCAGAGTAAGACAGTTTAATGTAATCCAACAGGAAATGAATTCTGATGCCGCCCCCCCCCACCTGTTTCCACTTTCATCACTATGGGGTCTCTTCCAGCTTGTGCGGTGAAACATCTACAGATGGTTCAGAGCTCAGCAGCCCATCTGGTTTCTGATCAGCCCAAAAGGACTCACTCCATTACTCAGTGACCTCCACTGGCTCCCCGGGGCCTCCAGGACCTGATCAGAGTCCCTGATGCTGCATACAGAGTGACTACTGGGTCTGCACCATCTACCTAAACTCCATAATCCAAGCCTACGTTCCTTCTCGGCCGCTATCCCTTCACACAAAGCGACCTCAGTCCCTGTTCTCATCTGTGACTCCACGACGGGGGAACGAGCGACCGCACGCCGTCAGAGCAGGGGCGTCCCTCTCTGACTTCAAGAAGCTCCTGAAAACTCTGCAGAGAACACTTCCTGCTAACAGCTCTCACTGTCAGACACGAGACCCGTCAGCAGGAACGGGGACAGCCAATCTGCCTGAGAGACGTGGCGAGGACAGATCTGGTGTGTTACCTGTGACTCCGCTGCAGGTGGCCTCGCAGTCCTCCTGGGACTCAAAGTGGTTTTCGTTGGCCTCGCAGCCGCCGTAGATGAAGCTGTGGCAGCTCTGATTGATCACATCGTAGTAAAACCTGGGGAAGGCCGCTCGACACGACCCCACCTTCTTCGGGAGACGACAACGAACTGCAGGAGACGAACAGAGAGGACACATCAGTACACAGATCCTGGACCTGATGGGTTTATTTATTACAGTGAGGCTGGGTCACACATGCCAACAGTGCATTAGCATGTGTGACCCAGCAGGTACTGAACCTGAAGACCAGCAGACTAAAACCTCTTCCCCTCTTCATGCAGGACCTGGTCTGCAGGTAAGGCCTGTGATTGGTTGGAGTCTGACCAGGTGAGGCTGTTAATATCCTGCTTCCACTGTGTCCGTCTGTCAGCTGAACGTTTGTGCAGAAACTTAAATATATTGAAGAATTTGTGTCTTTCAAAATAAAGCTGCGATAAAGCTCACTAGCCAGAAGAGCTGGCCTTTCAAAATAAAGCTGCGATAAAGCTCACTAGCCAGAAGAGCTGGCCTTTCAAAATAAAGCTGCGATAAAGCTCACTAGCCAGAAGAGCTGGCCTTTCAAAATAAAGCTGCGATAAAGCTCACTAGCCAGAAGAGCTGGCCTTTCAAAATAAAGCTGCGATAAAGCTCACTAGCCAGAAGAGCTGGCCTTTCAAAATAAAGCTGCGATAAAGCTCACTAGCCAGAAGAGCTGGCCTTTCAAAATAAAGCGGCGATAAAGCTCACTAGCCAGAAGAGCTGGCCTTTCAAAATAAAGCGGCGATAAAGCTCACTAGCCAAAAGAGCTGGCCTTTCAAAATAAAGCTGCAATAAAGCTCGCTAGCCAAAAGAGCTGGCCTTTCAAAATAAAGCTGCGATAAAGCTCACTAGCAAAAAGAGCTGGCCTTTCAAAATAAAGCTGCGATAAAGATCACTAGCTGCTGGTCTGGATGAATGTGAGGGAGTTCAGAGTCTGTTGTGATTCATCAGAGCTGAACAGAAACCAGTCTGACCTGAAACCCTCAGAGAACAAAGCACAGTGAAGGTGACTCGGCATCTACCTGTACAGGTGAGTTTAATGGGACAAATGTCAAACTCAAGTTCACCACGGTGACGCATTTATCTTTAAAGTGCTTCAGTAAACCAGAACCCCGACTCCCCCCTGACTGACCAAGTCCAGTTTGTACCAGAACCTGAACCAGACTGTCGCCTCATTGTGAAACACAGCTGTTCCATACCTGTACAGGTGAGGAACAGCAGGTTCAGCAGCATGTTTTCATCTGTTCCTCTTCACGTCAACCAGGAAGCAACAAACACAAAATATTACCTCAGATATCCTTATTATTATTTTCCTGACGTGCCCGCACTGCTGAGACAAACTGGTTTTTAATCTTCCTCAAAACTCTTCACGTCCTGTTTTTATAAAACTGAAAAGTTAGATTCACTTGATTGCTCAGCAGATCTTGGTGTTTCAGCTCTGAATCTGATCCCAGTTCCCTGAAACTCGGACTTCCTGTTTTTAACTTCTTTTTTTTTTTTACATCTCGCTGGATTTTGTCACTTTATTTCTGATTGATGCAGAAAAGCAGCAGCTGATTAATCGATACAGAAATTATTAGTTGCGTTTAGATGCAGGATGATGAGAAACCTGTCAGCAAGGACCGGGACTGTGGCGGTCTCAAGATTTAAGACCTGGATCTGTGTGGAGTCCGTATCAGGAGGTCTGGTGGACTTACTGTTGTTGGTCATGTTGGTCCTCGGCTCCAAGGATCCCAGCAGCGGGACGACGTGCGGGCTCTCCCCGTCCTCCTTGGCTTCCGTGCGGGTCTCTGTCGTGGCCTTGCGGTAAACCTTGAACTGTGTGCTGGGCTCGAGGACGCACACGTCCTGGCCCCGGATCACGCAGCTCACCAGCATGCACTGCGGCCCTCCGTCCGCCGGGTAACCGACCAGGGCCAGGTCACAGTCCGGCTCTGCGCAGCACGCCGCCCGGCAGCTCTCCGGGTCCGACACGTCCGCGAGCCGGGTCAGGTTTACCGTTCCGGCGTCCACGGAGGCCGGGTCCAGACCCTGATCCGGATCAGTTGACTGGTCCCAGTCACAGTCCTGAGCCAGAACGGCACAGACCAAGAACAGGGCCGCCAGCAGACTGGCCCCGAAACGCTGGTTCATCTTAATGTAACGTGGATCTGAAGAAGGATTGGAAAGAGTCTAAAGGTAAAAACCGTTTCTGAGGTTCTGGACTCGAAGTTAAACCTTGTGAAGTTTGTCAGCAGCGGGAGGAAGAACGACTCACTTCCGTGTTTTGTGGCTTTTTGTTGTCGCAGATTAATTTACCTGAGAAACAGGTGAGGTCACTGCAGCCGCGCATGCGCGCTGCTTCACCACCACGTGACGCACAAACAGCCCGAAACACTGGATTGTTTTTATTTCCTTATTCAGTGAAATTCATCTGAATAGTTAGAATAATCAACTTTACATTTGTCTCTTTACTTAATTTGCTCTGTTATATCCGAGCTTCACGTTTCAGGCTGTGTGGAGATAAAAGATCTTCATCACTGGTCACTTTCAGCCCCTCCGGTCTTCATCAGGTCAGAATTAGGATATGATGACGTCACTGCTAATTTTAATTCCCTGTCTCAGTTCATAACAGAGCGGGTCCAGAAACATCATCAGACCCAACAGTCCCACCTCCCTTTAACACCAGAAACCTGGAGCAGAACCTGGACTCAGGGCGGCCTACTCTTAAATGTGGAGATGGTGTCTGCCTCCTGAACCCAAACCGGAACCAGGTTCCACAGGAGAGGAGCTGATGCGGAGAAGCTAAGACAGGAGAAATGTGATCTCTTTTCCTGGTTCCTGTCAGAACATGTGCTGCAGCATTCTGGACCAGCTGAAGAGTCTTAATGGACTTTTTCAGCCTGATAATAAGGAGCTCCAGCCTAGAAGGAACAGGACCAGGATGGACTCCATATCTGCTTTCACCATGGCCCTGTGGCTTTTCCTGGCTGCGCTACGTCCCAACGTGAAATGTGTTTGTATTAAAGTTTAGTTTGTTGCATCGTCTCATATGTTAAGTCTCTTTATTCCCGTCTATCCTTTCCCTCAAGGGGACGTCCTCCTCTTGCCAGGCAGCGGTTTAAAGAAGAATTTTGTTCTTCACTAACTCCCCTGGTTAAATAAAAATAAAGAAACAAATTTTATTAAACTGATTTCTTTGTTCTCATAATAACTTCTCATACGTCAGGATATTTGTTAACAAAAGGAGTCGCTAAACTCAAGAAAGGAAATCCACAGAGCAGCAATACGTCCACAAACAGAGAATAATAATCCAAAAGCTCAGGCAAACATTTAAACAGGTGAAGCTTCTCAGGGCGGCACACAGACCCAGGCGAGCAGGGCGACCGGGTCCAGGACACAAGAATCAGACTGAAACATGTGGTTTGGCCTCCAATGGGGGCTTTAGAGGGGTGAGAATTAGAAGAAAGAAGAGGAGGAGAGACAGGAAGTGACTGTGATTGACCGTGTTGAGGGCAACGGCTTCCACCAAATGTGAGCTGCTGCAGGGATCATCTGCTTATTTTGAAATGAGAAGCGGTCACTGTGTTAACACTTCTGAACTCAAAAATGATTTCTTTTGTTTTCTTGGTGTTCAACAGAAGAAATTTTAATCAAACCAACGATTGCTGTATCGTCAGCAAATTTAATAGTAACATGTTGCTTCATTTGTGTAAAGGCCACATGACCAAATTTAAATATGATCAAAGAATTGTTTGCTTTTGTAAGAGATTTATTTGGTTTTGTGTGAAGAGTTTTACAAAAATAGCCAATAGTTTCGCAAATTGTGCCAAAACATTCAGAAGAAATCGTGACAACCTGAGCTCCCTGACAGAAGGAGGAGCTGCTGCTCCCACAGAAGGAGGAGCTGCTCCTCCGTCAGGGATCAATAAAGTCTGTCTGACATTATGTTGGTGAAGGTGCTGGCTGCAGTTCACCTGTACACCAGCAGGTGGCGCAGCTGCCCCGTTATTCTCCGTCAGCTTTCTGCAGCCATGCACTAGGACCCAGCAGGCTCCTTTTATGCTGCATTTAAGGTCTGTTTGTAAATGTTAGCTTCAGATGATGTGCTGCTGCTTTATGAACTTTTTATTCGTCTGTCACAGGGTCATAAACCCGAGGAGAACACAGATCGTCACCGCTGTGGTTTAATGATCTTTCTTTATAATAGACACTATTTCAAAAATAGAACATATGATGATCCACTTTCTGAATGAAAGAGAAATTTCCTGGTTTTTATTTTCCGTCTTTCTCCAGTCTGATTCAGATTCAGAATGTCTGACGTCAAATTAGAAAAAGAACAACTTGAAACATATTTGTGGGAACAAATGGTGGTGAAACAAAAAGACTAAAGTTATTTCTCTGCAGAAATGATTTCAGAACACCGACGCCTCCACAGCGGGCTTAAACTGAAAATCACAGTCACAGTCAAATGAATCTGTCTTCAAATCCTGTGATGAAAGACTGAGCTCACGAGACGTGACTGTTTAACTTTACACAGCATAGAAGGAGCCCAGAAGACATTTGAACAGTGTGAGTATAAAAGCAGGGGGTCATTCCACAGATCCTGTTGGGCATTAAAGAGTTAATTTCCTGCATTCTGTGGAATTTTTCTGCATCAATTTCTGATGGGAAAGTTTTTATTAATGTAAAGGGAGACAGAACGTCAGTCAGCGCAGCTCTCAGATCTGTTTCTCCAGTAGATCGACTTATCTAATATGTGCTGAGTCCTGATTTAGTCTCCCCTCCGCTTTGTCATGTTCAGGGAGAGAGCGGACAAGTTGTGAAGTCTGATCGGCTCTGCACATTTTTACAATCAGTGGCTTGTTTTTTAGCTTACGTTCCTTTTTTGGACAATGCACTTTTGTTTCTTTTGCATTTAAACTGTACTTTTTCTTTTTGTGCAAATAAACCCTCCCCAGTGTAAATGACACCTATGCTTAGTCTCATAAATCCCGACGGCCCCTGAACGCAGCAGCAGCAGCAGCAGCGGCGGTGGCGGCGGCGCGGTCCCCGCCCTGCTCCGTCTCTGTCAGTCTGCACGCGCCTCACCGAGCGGTTCACACCGACGGGACGATTTTCTATTAGTCTTCAGTTTTTATCAGATAAGAAGAAGAAGAGAGGATTTTATTATTAGTATTATTAGTGGTAGCAGTAGGAGTATTATCAGTATTTCTCTTTCTCACCACATCTCTAAATTCTTTACACTTTTTATTTTTGCCTCTTTACTTAAAACTAAATATTAAAATAAAATATTATAATAAAACTCATATTTTGGATCCAGTTCTGGGATTTTTGGGGGTCTCAGTTTGACCTCCTCTGTGGTTCGTGAGGCGGTCTGTCTGGGTCCAGGTCTGATCTGTCCTGATGGCGGCCAACCGGGTGGGGCGGCGGGTGAATAAGGTGTGTAGCAGTAAATCACCGAGCCGTGCCGGCGGCGGGCGGGACCTGGGTCAGAGCCAGCAGCGGCGGCAGGCCCGGATCACCGTCAAATACAACAGGAAGGAGCTGCAGAGGAGGCTGGACGTGGAGAAGTGGATCGACTGTGAGCTGGACCAGCTGTACAGGGGCCGGGTGAGTCCTGCAGTATTAATAACAATGATGATATTTTTCATTATTTTTATTCATATTTCTATAACTTTTCCAGTCCGGACAGGAACAGCTGAGCCCAACATCACCAATCATCACTAAGTTCATAAACAGATCAGAGAAACAGGCTCAGATAAAGCAGCTGGAATTTAAAGGTCCAGAGTTTTAGTGGCATCTAGTGGTGAGGGTTGCAACCTGTAACCAGAGGCTCACAGTGCATTCAGGTGCTCCTCTTATGGTCCCATTCCCCGAGTTGTGAAGTTGTTCTTTTGAATCCAGCGTGTGTTCATGTGCTCTCAACGTGGACGAAGATGTGTTGGAATAACATCATCAGACACGCAGACGCATTAGTTCACTCTTCATGGACAGCAAACTTACACAAAATTACACATCTGCAAAATATCTATATGCAGTACGTGATTTTACACAAATTAAACTTCTGTATACTTCTTTATGTCCCGCGTAACCTGTTCTTCGTACGTATTCAACGTAGTGATGAAACCAAACGCGCTCTGCAGAGCAGTTTGTCTGTTCGGGGCTCCTGTAGCAACATGGCGACGCCCCTGAGCCGCGGTGTCTGTAGATAGAAATGTCTCATTGTCATTATGTAACGTCTTTACACGCCACTGAGAACACAGTTATGGATCTTAGATCACATCAGTAGATCCTCCTAAATGTTCCACACTGGACCTTTGAGAAACATATATAAACAATGAAGATGCAAACAGAAGAATCAGCAAATTACAAAGTAAAACAGAGGCGCTGAGTACTGCACTAATACATACACTACTGAAAGTACTCTGGGACATAAAGTATACCATCAGGCAGGCTAAATACTTTCAATTACAATGTATTTTCAATTCAGTTTTATTACTTACAGAAACCCAACAATTCCCACCAAGAGCAGCACTAGGCGACAGAGGCAAGGAAAAACTTCCTTTTAAGAGGCAGAAACCTCGAGCAGAACCATGGCTCAGGGTGGGCGGCCATCTGCCTCCACCGGTTGGGGGTGGGACGACTGATAGCCATAAAGAGAGAGAGAGAGGGGGAGGGGGCAGCAGCCAACACAATGTACACACAGAAATACAGACAGCAAAGAGAATGTTGGAACAGTCTGAAAATGAATAATGGTGCAGATATTTATGATAATGTTAATGATAATAATCAGGGAAACTATATCTTTAGATAATGCGTCACGGAGGTGCTTAGGCCCCAGAACAATAACTTCAGTTTTATCTGAGTTTAACATTAGAAAATTACAGGTCATCCAGATTTTAACATCCTGAAGGCACATTTGAAGTTTAGCTAACTGATGAGTTTCATCTGGTTTGATCGATAGATATAACTGAGTATCATCTGCATAACAATGAAAGCTTATGGAATATTTCCTGATAATATTGGAAGCATATATAAAGTGAAGAGGATTGGTCCGAGGACAGATCCTTGAGGAACTCCATGACTAACTTTGGCGTGCATGGAGGACTCATCGTTAACATGTACAAACTGAAATCGATCTGATAAATAGGACTTAAACCAGCTTAGAGCGGTTCCTTTAATGCCAATGAAATATTCCAGTCTCTGCAATAGGATCTGATGATCAATGGTATCAAATGCAGCACTAAGATCTAATAAAACCAGTACAGAGACAAGTCCTGTACACAGATTACTGAACACAGGTCTCAGGTTTCTGAG